AGAGACAATGTGTGATGAACTGACCACAACCCCCATTCCCCATCCCCCTGTGCCGCTGGGGGAAGGAGGTAGAGAATTCGGGAGTCAAGTTAAGCCTGGGAAGAAGGGAGGGGTGGGGGGAGGGTGGTTTTGAGATTTGGGTTTAGTTTTCATTATCCTACTCTGATTTGATTGGTAATAAGTTTTGTTTTTTTTTTTCCTCAAGTCAAGTCTGTCTTGCCTGTGACGGTAATTGCTGAGTGATCTCCCTGTCCTTATCTTGACCCACAAGCCTTTTGTTATATTTTCTCTCCTCTGTCCAGCTGAGGAGGGGAGTGATAGAGCAGCCTTGAAGGGCACCTGGCATCCAGCCAGGGTCAACCCACCACAGATCCACAATCCCAAATGAGTACCTCCCAAAAGGACAGGTACAATAAGGGATCAAGTGTGAAAGATCCGACTTGAAGCGACTTACCCAGCTTTCCACAGGAACTCTAAGGTAGAAAAGTCAGTTCCTCTGGGCTGTATTCACATGCCTTACACAGAGGTCCCTTTTCTCTTTTTTACCCTGCTATGTCTCATCCACTACAGAATTCTCAAAGGGGATCTTAAAAATAAGCACCTCCTTTAATACAAAGGCCTATGTCAACCTGTTTGCTGTATCGTCCTTTCTTAAAGTAAGCAGGGAAGCAAAGCTCCTGTGGAAAAAGGACAGCAGCAAATATGAAATTAGACAACATCAAGATGCATACACAGACCTATCTACTTTCAACTTTTCCCTACTTTTGCATGTTTCTCTACTTATATTTAGCAGCATACTAGAAGGATATGTACTGCACAAAAAGTCCTTCATTTTAGAAGGTTTTCCAAAGGAAACAGCCACACTACTTGTTGGTCCCTCTGCCTCCATAACCTTTTAACATGCCGGTCAAATTCAATCGGGTTTAAAAGAACAGAAGCATCAAAAGTATTTAAATTCATACTAGTTTTGTGAAAAATTGACACCTGGATAAAGACCTGAATAAATGTTTCCAGTGTGCTATAGACAGACAAAATTTAGCAATAATATCCTGCTTGATTGCATCTGCTGGTCAGTTAGCATATATACGCAACTCCTGACTAGTCACTGCAAGAGGTATTTCTGAGTCATTGGGATTATACCTGGGAGTCACACCGATCACCATAGCTGAGTCCAGGACAAACTCCTCTTTTAATTCCCCCAGGTCATATCAACTGGGATTTACAAGCTTTCTCATATTCTGTGCTATCTCCCAAAATCTCCTAGCATCTCTCACCTAAACAGTTCCCAGGCATTAAAAGACAAAAAAAAAAAGAGATATATTGATAGGCCTTGCAAGACTTTTCCTACTATTTGCAACATATTCTTTTTTCCTGTTGGGGATAGAATGAAAGCTGAAAACATTTCTAAGACACTTGGATGATACATCCTGGCTCGTGGTGTATAAAAAGTAGATTAAATGAACTGATGGGTCTCTTTCTTGCTTAGGTCCTCCTGAAACACTGAAATATTCCTAACTCACCTCTCATGATCATGTACAAAGTGCAGTTTTTCAGTTTATTCTTTGTCCAAATGTGATCAAGTTTTTGCAGAGAGAGCAAACAAGAACAGTTATTAGAAAAAACGTTTTCAAGTATCTATTCCAAATACAAAGAGAAAATATTATGCAAAACAATTTATTTTTTCACTTATTCCCAATTTTAGCAGTGGATCTAAATTTAAAGACAATTATACAAAGACCATTGACATGGAAAGCTTCAACCCAAGTAGATACAGCTGGACAAACTTACAAGCAGCTGAAGAGTCACATATTTCTGACTATTCAGAAATTCAAGTGTCAGTACCAATGCAAATGTTTATAAATCCTGAAACAGTTCTTTACCAGAAATAATAATATTTTAGTTTGAAAAATGCCAGTTCACAGGAACTGAAACTGTATATGGGAAAGTTTCTTTAGGCAAACCATCTCACTTCCACTACTGTGACTGTTAGCGGCTGTTTCAGTCTTAGTGTTAGCAAATTAAAATTTCAGACTTTTCCAAACCAGAAGAATTGCATTTTCTTAAAAATAAAATAAATTCTAAAAATCACATAAAAAAAAAATCTTGCTTCTTTACTTCAAAAGATTAGAAAAATAAGATGTAGAGACCTCAAGGACCAAGAGCAAGAAAACTCCTCTCCTTAGATCTTCTGCTATTAGGTAAATGCAAAGAAGAAGTTGTTGCCGGAGTAGGAAAGAAAAGCCAGGCCTGTGAAATCTGGAGTATACTGGGACAGGGAACCCAAATATAGGGGGCACTAGAAATGGAGTTAGGGAGGTTGGAAGAGGTGAACCAAGAATTTTAGAAAAGGTGAAAAATGAGAAAACTGGGACTGGCTTAAAAGAAATAGGACAGCAATAGCAGCAGTAGTGCAGAAAGTTAGGAGCAGTTCAGTGAAAAGCTGAAAAGGACATGACAGTACAAGACCAGAATCAGGACAAAGATGCATTTTCTTAAGAAATCATGGAGTGAAATCCAGTATTTTCTGACCTCATTAGCTGTCAGTCTCACCTGCAGAGTTCTCCTCTAATTCCTCCACTGTGCTCTGTAGAGAGTATTGTAACTACTACAACAATCAGTAGCTCTTTAGTTCAGGTGGTAGCAGACAGAAAAAATTCCAGCCTCCACTGTGGTATTTGGGTGCTAGCAAGATGTTGTAGGGAGGAATATGACTGCTATATTTGTGTCTCATTTACCACTGATGTTCTGAGGCGGGGAGGGGGGGGGGAATGTGGGAGGAAGGTTTTGTGATTAAGCAGCAAAACGCTGTCCAGAGGAACTGGATTTTGTCTCTCCCTTAGATGTCCTGCAGGAAGCCAAGTCAGTCACTTTGTTACAAGTTTCTCACAGGTGGTCATTAATTGTCTAGAGCTAATTCTTCAAGTAGCAGGGTTGAGCTAATTTACAGGATCCAATTTACAGACATGCTGAATATTTGTGCTTGCAAATGACTGAAAAATCATGCCAAATTGGTACCAAATACATCCAACATTAATCTGGTGCCTTGTTTCCAAAGCTGTAAAATGGGAAAAAGACATCTACTCACTTCATATAACGTAGATATGGGAATAAATCCAGTTACAGCTTCTTAGTTCTGTATAAACATACTGATGAGTAGCACACAACACACACACAAAAAAAAGGGAAAAACAACAGCTCTATATTTAGAGCAAAGTTTAGTTGGCATGCATTGTTCCAAACAAGCAATAAGAAAGAAGGCAGCAATCAAATAGGCTGTTTTTACTGGGGGCCCAATTTAGACTTCTGATCTATGCCTAAAGACAGCAAGAATCCTGGTGGGGGGAGGGGGGGGGGCGCGGGATCTATGCGACCACATCATTGAAGACTATATCATCTGCCCAAGGAAGTGGGATGCAGATTGCACAGAAAATCTTAACTCTGGCTTTTCTGACTTTTGGCTTTGCCATGATGGCATTCTTTTAACAGATATTTTTAACTGTAATGCATCTTTAATTATGTAATTCATATACATGTACATATGCACATCCTATTTTAGTATAGAATTGTATCATTATTATTTATAAACTCAGTTACATGAAAAAGAGACGTCAAAAAAACCAGATGGCTTTTTGGAGATTGAGTTGGTAACGCAGAGAGTGCCACCTTATGGTGCTTGCTGAAAAAGCATATCCAGAAGACTTGTTCTTAAATGCAGAAGTACACAGGATGAAATGTTTACCAGCATGTTTCACTAATTCAGAAAGTTCCCTCTTAAATAAAATTTCATTTTCATACAAGCTAATGTTGACTAAGCCTCCGCCAGTTCCAACAAGGAGAGGGAAAGATTCTTCTTTCATATGCTTCTGATTCTCTCTTGCAAATTTTCAGCCTATATAGCACAGTATATATTTACTTCAGAGTGAAAATATATATCAGGTCATTTTCCTGCAAAGCCACTTCTTTGGGCTTATTTCAAAATACCAACTCATGGCTTTCCAAATAATCTAATTACCACATTACTTATAATTAATTGCATTCACACAGTAGAAAAGAACTTTTTACAGAGATAGGATATGGTATTCTGGCACTGCCTGTGGCAGCTGTTCCTTCCAGTTGCCTTCTGAGTAGAAGCTACTCAGAAGAGAGGACATCAGCATTTGGTGAAACAGCACGGGGCACAACTAAACGAACATACCCATATCAGTGCTGCATTCAGGGTTACCATTCTTTGTGACTCTATTACCAGCCTTCAAACTGCTGGTGTTTTCCTCAAAAAAACAATTCCTACAGTTATATACAGCTATAAGAATTTTAGACCTAAAAAAAAAAAAAAAAAAGAAAAAGAAGTTTCTGGCTCTTGCAGCTGTGGGGAAATGGACCAGAAAATTATCACCTCTAAAATTTTGTAATGAAAAAGAGATCAATCTAAAAGTACCTTGATCACTTCAATGCAAGTCTCATAACTCACACCCTCATCATCATACAAACCAGAAGGCGGAAAGAGAAAAAAAGAAGGGGGGGGGGGGGGGGGGAGACTGACACACTCTATACATTATGATATGTTATACTCTGGTGAGCTAGGGTCCTCCCCAACCTCTAAAATGAAGTTGGGAACAAATTGCTCTATTTGTTTTTTCTTCTGGATGGCTCTGAGCCACGAGAGCACAAGTATTTAAAAAAAAAAAACAAAAAAACAAAAAACAAAACACAAAACCAGCAGAGGCAGAAATCCATATTCTCTAACACATCATCAAATGCAGGTTTACCATCAAGGAAAAGTTTGTGCAGAGGGAAGGTTTAGAGAACCTTGGTTTTGATTCCACAGCATTGGAAACCACCACGTTTGCAGCTCAGGAATGAGGTATACTCACAGTGTACCCCAAACAGAGCCTGGTAGAAGAGAAAGTGCTGCTTAGCACCTCTACGTTCTTGGGTATGTGAAAGTTCATTTGTCCCCTAATCCCACATTTCATTATCGTCACAGTTGTCACAGAAGTTTCCAGTGCTGGCTAAGAACACTTAGTCTTTTGGAACTGAACGTTAGTTTTCAACATAACACTAAACAACACTAAATATACAAGAAGTTAACAGGAAGGGGGCAGGGGGGGAGATACACACAAGAACAGGGAGAATCGGTGTAACAGCTAAGAAGAGACTGTGAACAGAGATATTAAGATAATGACAAAAAATACTCTTACATCACACTTACCCTCAGCAACATCATCATCCACCATCAGCTTGAGGCTCTTTCCTCGCCGAACTACCCGGACAGTGTGCCACTCGTTGTCATTGAGTTTCTGCCCAGCATAAAGAGTTTCAGGTCCCTTGCCTGGGGATGGTGATAGGTATGACAGTTAAAGCCAGACCCCAGTTAGTTTAGTATTTGCTCAACGGGAAAAGTCACCAAAATCAACCTGGTGTGATACAGACTAGTAGATTGTGTCGGTTTATTATGACCTGTAATCAACCCTCACACCTACACCTTCCCAGCTCAGAGGGAAGTCAGGGTCACAAGCCCTTCCACTCGGTGAAGTGCCTTCTTCCACAGAGCCCAGAGGTCACATGCATTTAAAAAAGGAGTAGAAATCTCTCTTGTGCTATGGTATTCATTTCCAAATGTCACATTGTACAGGGCACTGCAGTATTACAAAACCAAGCTGGTGACAGAAATGTCTCTAGAGGGGAGCCATTACAGCAGAATGTTGCTCTCCTAAGAATCTGGATTTACAACAGCCCCAAGGTGCTTGGGATTCCTTTCAAAGTTAATCACACTGGTCTTTCAACACTTAGGTATCGAACACCAGGCTGGTTTCAGTCTTTCAGTCTCAACTAAAAAAAAAAAAAAAAAAAGAAAAATCCACAAAAAACCCCCCCACAAAACCTCAAACCCTACCCCCCAAAAAATATATTTTTTAAAAAATTTAAAACCACAGAAAGACAACCACTCACCAACCTGGCTGATTGCTCTAAGGTTCTTTGGCAAAGCAGCCTGGCTATAAGGTGCTTACTTCGCCCCCTGAATTACAGGTCAAAAGGGAAAGAAGAGCCCTTTCTTCTCCAAAAGGTAAAACCACAGTTGCCCTTGCGAACAATGCTCCTGGGAAAACAGCATTAGTGCCACCCATATTTGTCCAGTTTTGCTGCTCACCCATCACAGCTGACAGACCATTACTTAAAATATTAACTGTTCAGATTACAGGACTGGAACACCTCACTTCTGTCAAGTGGTAAGTGAAATTGAATAACGGTGTGTGCTAAATTAAAGGCATCTATGCTCATTTCAGTACAGTACACTAAAGTGTTTTTTGACACAGGTATATTGGAGAAATGCAGAATGAGGACAGCAGAACTTGTTGCACATCAGGTCTGGGCCCATTGCCCAAACTGGCAAAAGGGGAACCCAAGAAAGACACATTGAACGTACTAAAAGAGACAGGACAGGGACAAGAAGCACTGCTACAGCTCAGATTACTGCACTGGTAAAACCAGTGTCAGATATGCAGATTATTTCTCTATGTTTGTTCAACACAAGCAAATCAGTCTTTTTATTCAGATAGCCCACGAACAGCATTTCTTTTGACCAGTTTTCAATGGACTGGTTATGTAACACAGAATAAAGTGTTGTACACATCTTCAAGCAAAACTCTGCACAAGGGGATGCACCCACTCTGATCTGCGTCCTGGTGTGGACTAACAAGTAAGAGTAGTATATTCCATAGTGAGACAAAATTGAAGGAAGAGGTAGGAAAAATATCCAGGGACTTTACGTAGTCCACAGTATGCACACTGCCTAATTAGCAACATGACTGTAACTGCTTCTTACTGAGGGGAGGGATATGGGCAAAGAAGGTGGTGTCTCATTCAGCTAGGATATAACATGCAGTAGGGGAATCCTATGGAAGGAGACCAAAGCAAAATGAATATTCTGTATTCTCATTAAAGCATTGTGCAGTTCACATTACTAAAAAAGGAGTTTAATACCCTTTCAGATAAAGCCCATTGTGAGCCAGTTTTACCATAGAGCAAGAGGAAAAAAATGTTTTTCTACAGTGCCCTGAAAAATAACAGTCATTCTTGGATTAAAAGGATGGGGAGTCATATATTGCAGTTACAGAGAATATCTCCTTAACAGGAGAAACCTGTAACCTCTGCAGTTCCTCACCCATGTGCCAAAGTCACACTACCACAAATGTAAATCCAGCTGTACAAGGCAGCTAGATCATGGCCAGAAAGCTCAAGTTCTTTAGAACCAGACAAGCAAAACTCTATTTAAATAGACTCCAAGAAAGTTATGCTAGATTTACATCAGTGAGCAAGTACATTTTATCCCAGAGCACATATCACAAAACGATGTCTCTGGATGGCCAGCAAAATTATTGCCTACATCAAAATATACTGCATCAGTTACTATAGTTCCACACAGCCACTTCCCAGGTAGGAAGATAAAAGGAGTTCATTTGGACCAGTGTGTTTTTATAATGCCACCTGAAAGCATGGGGGGGTGAGGGCAGGCAGCAAATACTTTTTAAAAAAAACCTTTTCCACAGGTCTAGAGCTATGAAGGGCTCAGCCAAGAGAAACAGTCAGGTGTGCTAACTTTGCTCAGCTGACAATATACTTCCTATGCAGCACCTCTGTGTTCAACATGGTTGAGTAACTCAAAGTTGCTGACCTTCTAGTTCCTATTTTTCAACCCTATTCTGACAAAATAGGGGTTAGCCAAAAGAAGCTGGTTTGGCTTGTCATTGCTACCTTGATGCCTAGTGTAACACTTTCAAAACAAAACTGTGACACCAACAGAAGTTATCTGATGAGATTCTCAGGAAATGTAGCTTAACCAATTCACAAATAAATGAGTAGAAAGTTTCAGCTTTCCAACTTCTTTTTCCAAATGAATAAAGTTGTCTACAAATGAGATTGCTATTTAGAAGCAACTGGTTAATAGTTTGGGCTAATAAATTTGAATATTAAGTACTGCGGATGCAAATTATTCCATGTTAGGGACATGGTTTAGTGGGCATGGTGGTGTTGGGTTGACGGTTGGACTCGATGATCTTAGAGGTCTTTTCCAACCTCAATGATTCTATGATTCTATGTTATCTAAATCCATGTCTTGATCAGCCAATTTAATATCTTATCAGTAGAAAAAAATTAGGAGTTTTTAATATTTTTGTTCACTCACAAACCTCCATTTTGTATGCAACAAGGGGCATTGGCTTCTTTTGGTAGGGTTACCCAAGTAACACTACACAGAAAAATTTAATACATGAGCATGCTCAAGAGCATTCACAGAAGTTTTTCAAACCAGACATATTTGAGTTTTAAAAAAAGTGTTAAACAAACATTATTTTACTCTATTTAAACTGTTTTCTTTTCAAATGCTTTCAAGACATTTACGCAGCAGGTGGGTTGACCTGAAAAGCAGCAAAACTGTGCCCCCATTTTTCATTTGTACGCTGTCAGTTGAATTGCTGCTCCTTGTGTGAGCTCCCACTGAATTCCAAGTGGTTCCAGGAACTGTGTATAAAGAGACTCCCACATCTGGATGCTAAACTTCATTTCATTGAGCATGATTACTACATGTGCTGTTACTATATAGACATTTATGTGTGAACAATTTTTAAAAGACAACTTGAAGATTCCTAATCCAACAGTTGCAGATGATGGGAGAATAGAAAGGAAATGGGCCACATGTAGCAGAAGGATAATGCTCTCCCTAAGTACCATCTCCTACCTAGTAAGGCATTTCTATGGTCTTGCAGCTAAATACACAAAACCAAGTGTTTAGACCAAAATTGGTGGGGTTTTTGTTGTTTTGTAGGTTGGTTTTTTTTTTCCCCTGCTTTCAAGCTATCTGCACCTACATCACCCTTCAACTATGATAATCCAGATGTAGGAGGAAGCAAAGCAGAAGGTTAGCTGGATAGAGAAAAAAGTCAAAGATTTGTATCTTCCCTTTGTGCGACAGTTTTTTATGATAAAAGACAAGGAACTCTTGCAGCAGTGTTACAAGCTGGATGCCTGGAAACACTATTTATAATACTTTTGATGAGATGGCAGTTGGGCATTAGGTAATTTTTGCAATTTATTTATTTTTTATGAGTGAGAAGAGTAAAAGACAACATAATAGGAAAAAGAATAAGAAAGTTTCTACTGTAGCAATAACTTAGTAGTTAAGCTGCCAGAGCATGACTCCTGTTGGTGTCTCTGGCCTTCTTGGTCATTCCATCCCCCTTCCTAATGTCCTCTAAGGAACTGTGTATCATACAGAATTGATCACTACCTCTCATTTTCAAACTCAAATGAGGCAGATAGTATGTATTCCTTTGGTGCTTTGCAGTGGCAAACACTACTTAATCAGAAGCAAAAATATCTCTCTTGGGCATCCCCATATTCTAGACATTAGTCAAGCTGCTGTTCAGGCTTCCTGAGCAAATATTACTTGATTCAGCTGCAGCGGCGACTCCTCATGCTCTTATTAATCCTTTGACACCTACTCAAAACTTGTGTGCATACTGTTCATAAAAAACAACTAGTATATGCTTTCAGACATGGAAAAACTCCATCCACTCTGCCCAGATGTCCCAATCATTATCTGTATAATCAAAGGTGCACTGCTGCTAATGTTTGGCCCAAACAGACTACATAAAGGTGCCAAGAATAGACATGCCAGAGTATAAAGAATCATAAAGTAGTTCATGCCTTCTGAAAATGCCAAGTTGCTTTCAATCTGGCCCCCAAGAACTCACTCATTTAGAACAAACAACTGGTCAGAGGGATGCAGTTAAAACAATAGCTCTGAAAACACCAGCCGTTATCCACCTTCAGTTGTTAACAGCACACAGAATTCCCCTCCTATGAAAGGCAAAGGAGAAAAAGGGTTAATCCCCTCATCAGTTCCTCACAGGTGGATCAAAAAGTGTGCTTTTACCCTTGGTGTAGGCTGTCATTATCTGATCCATTTACATGATTAAAACGACCTTCATGAAACCAGGCTATCTTCATTATTGCATATCTTATCCAACATTACAGAAGAGGTCAAACATTCAAGTCTACAGAACAGCAGAAGAGATGACCAGAAACGACATTGCCAGATTGATGAGAATAGAAAAGGCGCTTCCTCATTACAATTACAACGATAAATAATTCTACAGTCATACACTAATGCTTTTTAGAGAAGATCCTCAGTAACAATAAAAAGGTTTTATCTGCTTTTTTCTTTTTAATTAAAATGCTCAGCTGCCATCTCAGCTTTATTCAATGGCAAGGTGCTTGTGTCTGTTTTATAAAGGGCAAAATCCCTCAGGAATGCAAACAGCACCCCAAGGC